CAAATTTTCTTTGAGATTTTAGATCGGGCCCTGCCTCAATGCATGAGAGCTCATTCAAGGTCCTCCAGACCATTCTTAAAAGTGTCCACTTTTACCCTCTGTTGTTGATCCGAACGTTACGCGTGCCACTTTTGAGTGAGTCGAGTTTGCTTTGGAAACAGAATGGAAAAGATCCTTTGAAATCTACATCAGGTGGAAAATTTTCAGTGTTATCTTTAGACTCAGACATTACATATGTACCATCAAAGCGGGAAACACGAGGTCTCGATGGAATGCAAGACGTGTTTCAGGTCAGGGTTAGTCGATTTACATTATCTCCATAGTGCCGTTTGCACACCACCCTTTACTTGTTGGAGATAATTGATTCACGGGTGTTGGAATTTTTGTTTCCATTGAGTGCCTAACATCCCTTCAAACTTATCGCTGGAGACGTATCTTTGGATTTGTATCCAGATTTGACATCCAATCCTGCTTCTTCTCTTATTGAAGCACTCCGGGGCTAATGCGCGCTGACTGAAACACACCGGTGGGAAGCAGGACAGAAATAAATTTGTTGCATCTCTCGGGAAAAGGTCTTGCATCATCATGACTCATGAATCCTTTAGGGCGGCTTCAAGAAAGTCATTTGTTTGATTTTAGATAAGGAGATACACATAAACCACATCCTTGACAAGTCTACGAAAAAGAAACGGGGTTCGGGTATCCATGGTTGCAGATTGTATCACAATGGGGTCTTTTCGAATGGAAAGGCATCAGAAAAGGGCAAACTTGTCTGAAAATTGCTCTATCCTCCCTGGGAGAAATGCGTCTATGTACTGCCAGGGAGGTCAAGCCCGAGTGGGCACTGTCAAGCCATCGATAAAAACCTGGCGAGGTGCTTTGATTGCAGGAAGTAAAGCGCACTTTGAAAACTACTGTCCTCTCCACAAGTTTGGGGAGAGAATTCGGCAAAAGTGCAGTGAGCTCTGATCAAAGTGGCGGTGCGCGCAGCCGCCGCGCTTGGTTACGTAATCCTCACTCTGTTACTCGATGCGGTTCCGCCATCAACTGACCAAGAGACCAGATTCGATACCACCACCACTGAGATACATTATATGATATATCGAAGTCATCAAGCACAAACTCACTACACTAATCGGGCGCATCTTCGAATCACTTCGTCTGGGAAACATGGGCATACTTTGGTCTCGATTGTTCGGCAAGGAGGAGATGAAATTGGTGATTTTGGGTATGCAACTTCACCTTACTCTCACTTTTTTCATTTGTCGATGGCATCCTTATCAGTTAAGAAAAAAAAAATAGAAAATAAAGATCAGTTGAAGTTATCGTAGCTGATTGCTTTCCTTCTCCGTAAAATGAAAATCGCATATCTGATGTCAAATCAAAAGGCCTAGATAATGCGGGCAAATCGACGATATTGTATAAAATTACGATGGGCGAAGTGGTTTCCACAGCACCCACAGTGGGAGCTAATCAGGTACGCGGATAAATCAAACCCAAATCAAAGAAAGAGATGGCATTCTTTTTTTTTTTCTCAAAAGAGTCTGAGCAACCTGAAATACCAGCTGACGATTATATTGGAACAACACTCCTGACGATCACGCGATCACAGGAACTATTCGAATACAAAAACTTGAAAATTCGGATGTGGGATTTAGGAGGTCAAACCAGTCTAAGGGTATTCATTCGACTTGTTTTTTTTGACCATCAGTTTCACGACTTAGCTAGTTCATGACCGCGCAAACTAGGACTCTGAGCAATGATCTTGTTTTACTGACTAGCCATGTCGTATGCTTGATAGCCTTCATGGTCATCGTACTACGGGCAAGCAAAGGTCAGTCGACTCTTGGATAATCTTATGAAACTCGAGACTTCAAATCGATCCAGCTCATTTTTTGGATTTTGTCTTTCTATAACAAAATTGGCTGGCTGTTGCTCAAAAGGCGTTGATCATGGTAGTGGATTCGACGGATCGAGCTCGGTTAAATTTAGCAAAGGAAGAGCTCCATCGAGTGGCCACAGATCCTGAGCTTTCGGCCCAGTCCGGATCCGACGGAGCCTGTCTACTGATATTCGCAAACAAACAAGATGTCAAAGGGTTTGCTCGCTTCCGTATGATTGAGTGGCCAGAATTATTTGATGATATCTGTTTGGCTTGCTAGATGTATGACTCCCGCACAAGTATCTGAAGGTTTGGCACTGACCGAGCTGAGGGATAGTAAGTCAACATGAGTTGATTTGTCTACGTTCTTTTTTTTTTTTTTTTTTTTTTTTTGGTAAGTGTTAGACTGAATTTTGATTTCCAATTCACAGGACAATGGCAAATAGTGGCATGTTCGGCACTGACTGGTAAAGGACTGATGGAAGGCATGGATTGGATCGCGTTAGTGACTTGAGCTAAGTTTACTCAGGTAACATTGCGCTGACACCCTATTACTTATCCGTTTAAATTTCCTTCGACGCGTGACTCTGACTCGCAGAAATCGTAAGTGTTTCCAACCAATTACACCACACTTCAACGTGAATCCTCCGGATCTCATTTTTTCTCTCTCTCTTTTGCCTTGCTCTTCCAGAGTTGAAATCACAAAAATAGGGCCGATTGGCCCTGTGTAACGGCTGACCTTCAAGAAAGAACTAAACAGTAAAAGACATTGTTCATTACACTATTTCTCTGACTTGGCATTGTTTTTTTTGACAATTTAATAACTCTCTCTCTCTCTCATCAAGCTGTAATAAATTGATCACTTGTGTCTCCATACCTCCAATGTTTGTTGTTTTATGTATGTCCAGTTTCTTTTCAACTAGCAATCAGTTCTCTATCCTGAACCCCACAGTAAAATCCTGAGTTCATCAAAGCATTGATCTTCCAGTTCTTTGGATTCATTGACTTGACCTGTTGTCTTGTGTTGTCTTGTGTGTTGTTATCTAGGCATGATTTGAGAAATGTACAAAGACATTTTGTTTCAACATGTTCCGAACCACACTCTTTTTTTCAGCAGTTTTATCTGGTGAGGATGTAAGGTACTTGCAGTGTGCCACCCGTTTCAAACAGGCAAGCTCATCCAGGATTCTTTCCAATCAGCCAAGTCTTGAATAAATTGATCCATCAGGGGGCTTTCATCCCAGGCCATACCTGATTGATTGATTGCAATGCCTCCCAGTAGATTTGGGGGGATGTTGAGACATGTTAAGTTTGATGGACATGAGTGAAAGAAAAAAATCCCCCTCAAGAATGTGTTCCTTTCAACGACAGATCCACAAACATTCTATGCACAATCTGTTTTTGATTCAAAGTTTTTTTTTTTCAAGAATATATACGACGATGATGATCTATGCTCAGAGTCACAGTGTGATCTGATACCCTTTGAATAACTGTACTTGCAACATACTTTTCTTAAGTTACATTACTGACTAGTTACCAATATGTAACTGATGTAACAAAATAAAACCAAAAAATGTTGAGATGTTCAGTGAGGGTTTTATGACAAAGGGTGCTCAACAGTATTAAGGTTATATAAACAATCAGGAAACATGTGGATGAGAATCAATGGTGCATTAAATGTTGAAAGAGGGGTTCCACTTCTGAAGATTCTCAAGTGATCCAGTCCAGACCTTACGTCATAGTTGAGCTACATAGTTTATTTCATAGCCCTCCTCTTTGTTTGTAAAGGTGATATGGAGCTGATATCTGTAACTCCAGTATGTACCAGATGCTACCGGATGGCCAACAGGTGAGCGAGAGGTGAAGTCATATAACCATGAACAAACCTCATCCGCCAAGATGGTTTGGCAAGGTTGTGGAGACATATAATGACTAAGATTGAAGACGGCCCCCTTTGGAGATTGTTTGTGAACCCTTCTTAGAGGTGTGGCCATGGTCGGATATCGATTGATATGAGCACCATCACCACCACTTTCCTCCACAGTCTCACTGGTATCTTTCCTTTTTGTGTTCACAGCGCTTCGGCATCCATCTCGGACCAGTCTGGACATATTTACAAAGTAAAAAAAAGACCTCTTTCTCATTTTTAATGCCAAGAATCGTCTGTGGTGGTCTTCGCATGAGATGAGAAATATATGGTCTACACATAGAGCTGGGAGGGGCGGGAGAAGATTAGGAGCATCGAGAGATTTGTCTACAGGTTAAGCTGTCTTGTGTCTCCTCGGATTCGGAATCTGATCAAACAGCTTGGTTTGTTCCAACTTTGTGTAAATACCTACTCACCAAAAGTCTAGACAGAATTTGCGTAGAAAGAAGATAAATTGATAACAATGGTCTTGATGTGTTGTTGATTCCCAGCCTTAGCGCAGCAGTTCCGGCGATGAATATATGGGATGGGATCCGAAAAGTCTGCGGCTGATCCCCCGTCTGGAAATCCCGGGGCATATTTACATGTATGTGTGTTGATGTGTGCCCCAAGCGATGCAAGGTTTTTTTGGATGATGTTTGTTTGTTTTGGTGGATGGTCGGGACCGGGTTGTCGATGGATGTGTTGTTTTTGGTCTGGATGATCCGTCCGCTGTCCTGCCAAGCCGTTCCTTGTTTCTTTTTAAATTTTTACGTGATCGGTGTGCTGGCTTAGCTAATCCTCTAAATTAAGCCCTGGGGGGGGGAGGGGGGCTGTGGGAAAGTGCACTGCCCTGGCAAGAATTCTTAGTAGGACCATCACCAGCCATCAGCTTGATTAAGAGCAACCCATCCCCAACCTCACTCCTTTCGACCATGAAACTCAAACATTAACACCCACCCATCACCCATCACCCATCACCACCGAACAAACATGTCAAACACCGAACATCAACAACCAACAACAACAACAACAACAACAACAACAACAACATCACCACCAACAAGCATCATCGAGTCTAGGGATGGAGATACCACCAAGCACAACGAACAACACATCCCACTCTCACCATCAGAACCACACCCACAACAATCACCCATCAAACCAACCTCATCATCATCATCAGCAGCAGTAGTAGAACAACAACAACAGCAACAACTCACAACAACAACAACAACAGAACAACAACAAGAACAGAATGGATTCAAGATCAACACCACCCAATTAACCCAACTGATCGACCCCAAATCCATCAAGAGCTTGTCCGACTTAGGCGGCCCTCAACAGCTCAGCATCCTACTTCAAACCGACTTGGATCGTGGACTGAACAATCTGCAAGAAACTCTGCCGAATAGGACTGCCCAATTCGGCACCAACATCCTGCCCGAGAAACCGACGAAAACGATCTTCCAACTGATCTGGTTAGCCCTCCAGGATAAAGTCTTGATCATCCTCATCATCGCTGCCGTCATCTCCCTCGCCTTGGGCCTCTATACTACCCTAGGTACCCCTCCCAAATCTTATACTGACTCTAATGGAAATCTCGTCACCGAACCTCAGGTAATCATCATTCATTCAAAACACAAAAAAAACAACAAGCTCCTTTTTGCATCATCTTCTCATACGCCTCTTTTTTTTTTTTTTTAGGTGGATTGGGTCGAAGGTGTAGCTATTCTTGTAGCCGTGGGTATGTGAAAATCCTTCCATTTAAACTGGAAACAATATATTAATTTACTGCTACCAAAAAAAAAAAACAATGTGGAATCTTTAGCCATTGTGACACTAGTAGGCTCCGTCAATGACTACCAAAAGGAGCTCCAATTCAAGAAGCTGAATGCGCAGAAGGAGGACCGATCGATCAAAGTGATCCGACAAGGACAAGAGCAGATCCTGCAAATCGGGGAGATCCTAGTGGGCGATTTGCTGCTGGTGAATGCGGGCGATTTGCTGCCGGCGGACGGGATTTTCCTGGACGGATACGAGGTGAAATGCGACGAGAGTAGTGTGACGGGCGAAAGCGACTTGATCAAGAAGGTTAACTACAATCAAGCACTCCAATTGGCACTCCAAAAATCAGGGAAACCTTCTTCCGAGACGCTGAAGGAGGAGGTCCAGTTGGGCAAAACCGATTGCTTCATGATCAGTGGCTCCAAAGTCGTCGAAGGATACGGTCGCTATTTGGTCACCGCTGTCGGGCCGAACTCATTCTACGGAAAGATCATGATCTCGTTGAGTCTTCCTCCATTTCCTCAATTATTCCTACCTGCAACTCATTATACTCTTCCTCTCAGACTTCAAGGTGATACCGAAAGCACACCCCTTCAAACCAAATTGAATTCGCTAGCAGAATTGATTGCCAAGTTGGGCGCTACGGCCGGATTGATCTTGTTCACTGCCTTGATGATTCGGTTCTTTGTTCAGCTCAAAACCAAGGCTGATCGGTAAGAATTAGGTTGATTTGTTTTCTGCCGGCTTTAAGACTAACGTTTTCCCTATTAATTTTTTCAGGAGTCCAAGTGATAAAGCCCAATCGTTCATTCAAGTCTTGATTATCTCTGTTACCGTTGTCGTCGTGGCTGTTCCCGAAGGTAAGCTCAAGCATTTCCTCTCAGATAAGGGCTTGCGAGCTGAAATTGCCATAATTTTATTTTAGGACTTCCTCTCGCGGTTACACTTGCTCTTGCGTTTGCCACGCGTCGAATGACACAAATGAATCTTCTCGTTCGAGTATTGAGTTCCTGTGAGATCATGGCCAATGCGACTGTTGTCTGTACGGACAAGACTGGAACACTAACTCAGAACAAGATGACCATCGTTGCTGGTTCGATCGGCGTTCATTGTAAATTTGCCGCGGATCTAGAGCAAAACGAACGACGGGTGAACGTTGATGAGAAGGCTTCAGAAGAAATACAATCCGGCTTCACAGACTCTCCCAAAAACGGAAACCCCCAGATCAGCATCACTGACGATACCGACTCTCCCTCGACTCATAGCGCCACTCAAACTGCTCACCACAATTTACGTCTAGATTTCTCGGTCGACCAAGCTAGAATCCAACAACATCTGACCCCGGGCTTGATCCAACTATTCAATGAATCGATTGCGATTAACTCGACTGCCTTTGAGGCCAAAACTGGCGGCGGTCAGCTGGAGTTCATCGGCTCAAAGACTGAGACGGCTCTGTTGAGTTTTGCCAAGGAGCAAGGATGGCCTGATTATCACCAAGTCCGACAAGGCGCGGACATCGTGCAAATGATCCCCTTCAGCTCTCAGCGGAAGGCGATGGGCGTCGTTGTCCGACTTCCGGGGAGCGGCCGCTATCGTCTGTTCCTCAAGGGTGCCTCTGAGGTCTTGACCAAGCTCACGAGTCACTACGTATGTGTCCGCGGTCCATCTTCTGAAGGCCAGCCGATCAATCCAGAGCTGGAGGATGTCTCCTCGGCTCCCTTCGATCTCGACACTCGGGAGAACGTGAGTCGGACGATCATGTTCTATGCCAATCAATCGCTCCGGACGATTGCCCTATGTTACCGGGACTTCGAGTCGTGGCCTCCCACCTTACTCGCCCCTGGTAAGGATCGCAAAGATCCTAATACCCCAGCCGGTGAAGTCTCACTCGACGACCTTGTCGATGGCCTCGGCTTGACTCTCCTTGCTGTCGTCGCCATCGAGGATCCTCTCAGACCGGGTGTCACTGAAGCAGTGGCTAATTGCGCTAGAGCTGGGGTGGCCGTTAAGATGGTCACCGGTGATAATATCATCACTGCAAAGTCAGTTCTCAATCATCCTTTTTTGATCCCCCCCCCCCTTTTGATGACTGAGTTCTAATTGGCTGTCTTTTCCAGATCGATTGCTCTGCAATGTGGAATCTATACTCCAGGTGGTATCATCATGGAGGGTCAGTTCTTTTTGATCATATATACTTCATGCCAACAAAAAGCTCACTCGATTTGCTTTACCTGATGCGAACAACAGGGCCGATCTTTCGCCAACTCTCGAAGCAAGAGATGCTAGAAGTAGTTCCCCGTCTACAGGTACTTGCGCGATCCTCACCGGAAGACAAGAAACGACTAGTGGACTACCTGAAGTTCATTGGGGAAACCTGTGCGGTGACGGGAGACGGGACGAACGATGGACCGGCTCTGAAAGCGGCCCATGTGGGGTTCAGTATGGGGATCAGTGGGACTGAGGTGGCCAAGGAAGCATCAGATATCATCCTCATGGACGATAACTTTTCTAGCATCGTCTCAGCAATAATGTGGGGTCGTTGTGTCAATGACTCGGTCAAGAAATTCTTGCAAGTCAGTCGGACCTCTCCTGATCTCTCTTTCTCGTCACTCTCTTACTCATCATTCACTCTGGTTCGCAGTTTCAATTGTCCGTCAATATCACCGCCGTCTTGATCACTTTTATCACTAGTATTGCCTCGGATAGTGAAAGCTCCATTCTTACTGCTGTCCAACTGCTATGGGTCAACTTGATTATGGAGTGAGTTGGCATTTTTTCTTGGGGGGGGGGGTCTTCCAAAGTTGAACAAAACTGACGTGTTTTTTTTTGTGCACAGTACGTTTGCAGCATTGGCGTTAGCAACGGACCCAGCCACGCGAGAATCATTAGGCCGAAAGCCGGACCACAAGGGGGCCAACCTGATCAGCTTGGACATGTGGAAGATGATCATCGGGCAATCGATATACCAACTGATTGTGATCCTGATCCTGAACTTCTCGGGAAAGAAGATCCTGAATCGCGACAATCCGCCCGATGAAGCGACGCGGATCGAGTTCGACGATCTGCACAAAACACTGGTCTTTAATGCCTTCGTGTTTTGCCAAATCTTCAACCAATTTAACGCCCGAGTCTTGGATCGCTCCTTCAATATCTTCCGAGGCATCCTCAAGAACTACTATTTCATGGTGATCTTCTTGATCATGTTAGGCGGTCAAATCTTGATTGTAGAGGTCGGAGGGGCGGCATTCCAAGTGACGAAGATCGGGATCGAGGACTGGTTGATCTCGGTGATCATCGGATTACTCTCCTTGCCCTTGGCGGCTCTGATCAAACTTATCCCCACCGAACCCATTGGCAGAGTCGTGTATAAGTGGGGATGGCTTAGAGACCCGTCGAAATTGGAGCTCGAGATCGTCGACCTCGGGAACGAGTATGACGACGATGTGCGCATCGATGACGAGGCTGCAGAGCATCTGTCTAGTAAATGGAACCCCGCTATCGATCGCGTTCGCGATAATCTCGCCCTCTTCAGTCAAATTAGAGGTCCGTCATCTCATCCCCCCCCCCTTTCCTTTTCTTATCATTGATACTCTCAATTAATCTGGCTTGGTGGTCCGTTTGTGTAGGTGGTCGGATGAGGTCCTCTAGCTTCGTTAAACGCTCTCGAAAGTTCTTGTTGAGAGAAAAGGATATCCATACAGGAGCATTAATGACGATGGTGAGCTCCCTTTCTTTCGTTTGATTTGTTTTGCATCTCTTCCCCATTTTGTTGTCCCCCTCCCTACCCCCATCATGATCAACAAGACAGATGTGAACGAAATATTGATGAGATGATTTCTACAAAGGTGCCTACGTTGGTGGTGACATCGATCGGGGCTGGATGGCAGCCGCAAAAGCAGAACGAGCAAGGCGTCTCGAATTTGGCGGATCCTGCGTCGACTAATCCGACGGCTTCTACCACTCGACTTTGGTGTGACCAGGTCGAAGTTCATCCGGACACCGATGTCGATGATGTCAGTCCTTTTCTTGCCCCCTCCTCCCTCTCCTGCCTTCTTCTAATCGTTTTCTTATATTGTTTTGGTTGATTGATTTTCGATATGGATGCATGTAGCCTGTGTATGTGAAAATGGGCGCCAATCGGGCTAAGAAGGGCTCGCTTCCCCCCTCCCCTAGTTCTCCTTCTTCGCCCCGACAGATCCGGTACGAGGCCGACGAAACCCTTAAATCTCCCTAGTCTTCTCTCTCTCTCTTTCTCTCTCTCGTTACTCTCTCTGATTCCCCCATCTCTCTCCGCTCCCGCTCTCTTTCGCTCTTCGCAATCAATTCCATCCCTCCTCGTCGTTTTTTTTTGGGGGGGGGGGGTCCTCCCCCTGATGTTCCCCGATCTCTCTCTCTCTGCTCTATGACCTCCACATCAACTCTTCGGTTTTACGTATCATACTCATTTGTTTTGGTCAAGATACACGCTACACACGAGACTCTCTCTTTTTCTTCTCAAAAACACACAAAATCCACTCCAATCACTCCGTCGTTTTTTTTCCCGGTGGAGATCTTGATGCTTACACACGATTCATGATCTAGTTCGTTTTTTTTGTTTTTGCTTTTTGTGGAAATCGCTGGACGCCATCGAAGAGAGAGAGACTTGTGGTGTCTTCCTCTTCTGTTGTTGTTGTTTTTTTGGGGCGGTTTGTTTATCTCGTCGTGCAGCTCTTGCATTGCGGGAACGGCTTTCCTGAATCTTCTCTTTCTTTCTTTCTATTTCAATCTCTGTTTTTTTTTTCTCAAAATCTGATCTTTCTTCTCTTCTTTTTGTTTTTACTCTTTCTGTTTCTTTTTCTTTAACACTCACACACTCACTCATCCAATCCGCTTGTCCTTTTTGGGGGTCTTGGGTGTTGCTTTTTTTCTTTCTTTCTCTTTCTTTAACTTATTAATTTTTTTTTCTTTCTCTTTCTTTTTTTCAGATCTGTTTTTTTTGTTTTCCTTCTTTTTAAATGTAGCTATATACACATACGTCTATAAACATATGCTCATTTGTTTCTTTCCCCACTGCATACACACACCACTACCTTTTTGTTTTTTTTAAAAAAAAGTAAAATCTGATTTGGGTTGGACATCATCTTTGTTTGACTTGTTTTATGTTGTTTTACATGCCTGTTTTATAAAAAAAAAAAAGAAAAAAACAAGAAGTATTATTGTTGGGTGTATCTATAGTGTTTGGGTCTGTCTGTGTCTGTGTGTGTAACTTTGAGAGGTTGTTGAAGAAGATGAACTGCTTAGATGTGAAGGATGTAATTTGGGTACCTACGACTACATACTTACAATGCTGTCAAACAGATATGATATGCTGTGTGTATCATGGAGAATTCTGCAAAGCTGCAAGATCTACCAAAAACTGATTTGTTGTATCTCCTTGCAAATCAAAGCACATTGGCCAGCCAGTCTTTCAACCTTATGTATATAAAACTAAAATAACACTCATTTCTTACTATCTTTAAGTAAAATACACTTTTGAGATCAGAGAAACATGCTCAAAAAAATCAAGAGTGTCAGCAGAGATAGGAGGCAAATCAAGGCTTCTTTCTTTGGTTCAAACAAGCTAGAAAAATGTAATCATATATATATATATACCACCAGCACTACGCTACAGCGCTTTTAGCGGTGAAAAAGGCCAAAAATCCACCCAAAAGCACTGCAATGCAGCTTAGCGGGCACTTTTTGTGCCCTGAGTGTGTAGCGTTAGCGCAATTCTAAATTTCGACACTAATAGTTAATGCACTCTTGTGCCTTTTGCATGTAGCGTTAGCGCAGCAATGTGGATTTGCGCTATTAATGCTACGCTAAAAATTAGTGTATTTTTGCTATGCTATAGTTAGCGTAGCTGGCCCACCACTGTACCTTAAGCAAGGTGATGATGAATATTCAACTTGACGTTAGTCAGAGGATTACTGGGCGCTACATTTGGACCCAACTAGCTCCAAATGGAGATCCGGATCTAGACAATCCTGTCTTAATCTGCCCCAATGCGGTTGCACAGTGGGATCAAGTGGAAGACTGTTGTGGATGCTCTAAGGGATTGTCCTGATCCTTGGGATTCCAGGGCTGCCCTGGTCTCAAGCCCTGGGGTTGAGGATTTGGGATGGGCTTCACGCAACCCCCAAAACCCCCGAGGCTCATTGTTTACAGGGATCTTCCCTGATTTTTCCTTGTTTTGGTGTGTATGATAGTTTTTTTTTCATTTTCACATGTGGGATTCATTGGGAAAGAAAAAATTGTAATGGGCCATCAATAGCCAAAAAACAAAAACAAAAACTAATCCCAACACAGCCCTTCTGGTTGGGATTGTTGGAATTTTGGACTCTTCTTGCTCTTGTAGCCTCTTTTCCTTTTTCATTCTTACTTATGCCTCTATCACTAAGTTCTATTTTATCATTAGGATCTAACCATTCATCATCTTGAATCCCACCTCATTATAGTCTGTCCTATCTTTTCAGTTATGTAGTCTGACCCCCAGCTGGTAGTCTTAGAACCCTGACTGAGGAGGGTGTATCTTCTCTCTAGGGAGTCTGCTTATCTTCTTGAGTGTAGTTACTTCATTTCTGGTTTCTGCGGCTGTACCCTACTGGTTTTTATAGAATAATCTTTTTTATTTCGATTCATTATTATTTTCTATTCATTTTATTCTCAGCCAAATGTTGGACTCTTTTAGTTAGTCTATGTATGATGAGCCTACTACAAGGATTTGAAACCATTGGCTCTCCTCTTGATCTGAGTTTGACCACTTTTTTGGCCCTTCAAAAAGTCACACCAGATTCTGTTCAAAATCTTCTCTCCCTCTCAAAGGTAAGATTCCAACAAGGATAGGGAGGTAGTGCTGGGCCATAGTGCCATCATTGTTTCAGAAAAAATAAATTGCAGAAAGACCCAAAATTCCTGGGGTTCATTGCTTGGGATGTCCCTCTAGCCCCTTCTCAAACCCCGGGACCATAGGACCCCGGCGAGCCCTGACCAAGCCTACTTATGTGGCATGTAGCAAAATTTTTTTTTTTTTTCGAAAATGATACTTATGTAATTGACCGGATATGTAGCGGATTGGAGTTTTTTCTAACCTAGCATACTTAGGCACTAAGTATCCTTTAGGGCATTTATGAACTAAAACCCGAGATTTTTGCTCTTTCAGGTGAGAAAGACCCCTGATTTGAGGGGTTGTGAGTTCAATTCCCCAATGGGATACTTTTTTCCACCAAATTTTCGTCTGTATGCAAAGAATGTTACTCATGTAATCCGTAGCAAAATGGACTTTTTCAGGAAAAAACTGATTTTGCACGTATCCAAAACCCATTTTTCCCTGGATTCACATAAGTAGGCTTGGTCAGGGCTTGCCGGGGTCCTGGGACCATCCCTTTGCAGATACTGTATCTGTTTCAGCATTGATACTTGGCTAGCCCCTGAATCAATGGTGCAAGTGGCACAAAACATTATGACCATGTTTTTGATGTGAATGTCTAATCGTCTTGTTCTAAATGAGTCTTTTAAGTTTTCATCAATCAAAAACCAGGTGCAAAAACATGATCTTGCAGTGTACCAATTTGCACATCTTTTATATAATGACTTGGAATGTGAGTGAGGTGACTGTGTTACACGGATGTCTATTGATTCATGAATCAGGAGCCTTGATGATTTCTGCAGAGGCAAGTCAAATTGTTTCTGCCAGTACCTGCACTACAAAAAGTATTGCATCGCATGTGAAAATGCGCGGTAACATTGCATGTCACATGCAATGTCACCTCGCATTTTCAAAATGTGATTGAATTGCTAGGGCTAAACATTCAATCACATTTTGAAAATGCGAGGTGACATCGCATGTGACATGTGATGTTACTGCACATTGTCAAAATGCGATCCAACACTTTTTGTAGTGCTGTGGAAGAGATCTGAACTTCCCCAGGTAATCAGATTTTCCAAACTCTAGTCTGCAATCCACAATGGACCAGTTATGCTAAAAACAGCATGAGGGGAGCGTAAGAGCTTCTCCACCAAGGGTTTCTATACTAATTATAGCAACCCAAGGCTGATTTAGCAGAGCCACTCAGGTTTCTATACACCCC